TACTACTATATATATATATATATATATATATATATATATATATATATATATATATATATATATATATTCTACCAAGTACCTAAAATATTTATCAACTCTAACATCATAATATTAGATTTTTTTCCCCTCCTAGATTACCAGAAATTCCAAAAGCTTAAGGTGATTGGAAGCCCTTATATCTCCCTGCAAGTGTACGCAGGATTTAATGAACATTGTACAAATATAATTAAGTACCAGATGAAATAAAGATGAATAGATATGTGTTTTGAATCCATGACCTACTTAAATATCTTCATAAGGATGTTCTTTTGTGGAGCCCAATATATTTATGAACAATAACACATAAATTACAAGAAGTAAGATGTGAGTTGTCATCAACAATTGGACTAAAACTAGTTGTGTGCAAATCTTTTTCAGGTGATGCTTTTACCAGGTGAATTTGTAGACCAAAGTGATCTCCAATGGATATTCTACACAGGAAGTAGATTGCAGATCCTCTGCTTTAGATGGTGAGGAATTGATCCATGCTGCAGCAGATTACAAGTCATATTAACCCCAAAGGTTGGAATCAAATAGAAATTGTTATCATCTCTAGTGGATCAGCATTATCCCAATTTGTCTGTGTCCTAATACTTCCCCATCCGGCAAAGCTAATCAGCTTGCACATGGTCTTGTCCATGGCACATCAGAAGCCCACTAGTTTAATGAGCCTAGCTGTATTATTTAGTATTGCTGGAGCTTCAGAAACACCAATAGTGACTGTGGCTCCTCAGGGAACTATTTGGAAAACAATGGAAGTCCATTCAACTTATCACAACTTGTTTCTTGCAGTCAGATCTTGCCCTGCTTCAAACTTGCAGGGTACTATAATTGTACAGATCTAGTTGCTAGAGGAAATTCACAAACTGAAGCTGTGCTTTGGAAAATGAACATAATCTTTATCTCAATGGAACCCCAATCAAGTGCTTCTTCATCAACAATTTTCAAACCGAGTGCCAGGCAGACAGCACCCTGCAAGGAATAATTAGGAAAAAAACATTAACTATTGAATTTTTTTTTAAAAAAACTCTTCATTTATAGAGAGGTTCAGAGTTTTCAGCCCGTATTTGTTTGACGAGCATCATCAAATGCCTCTAGTTTGGCTGCTTTGATCCCATTTCCAGAAAAATCCACTTCCTCTGCTGCCTGGACAAGACAGCATGAACTGTCCAATCTAAATATCCTTCAAGCAAATCATTTTAACTGTATTGCCTTAGTGATTTCCAATCATTCCATAAGCCTGGCTTACAGCTAATTTAACGTAACAACTTAGGTTGGGAATGCAGAAGATGTAGCAAAAGATTTGACCTGATTGTGTTTTAGTCTTTTAGCATGAAAGAATTGTATATCATAACTTGTTAAAGATCTATTTAGTTTATTTCTCCGTACAAAAATGCAAACTTATATTTGCTGAGGAAACAAATTCAGCCTGTTTGTCACACAGATGCTAAACTCGCAATGAACTAAGGAAAGTAATCATGAACCAACATAATCGCTTTGGTTCTGAATGTCTAGGCTATAGGAAGTCCAGTCCACTCACCTGACATATCGACACTATGGTTGCCCTGTGTTCTTTGGCAAATTAATCAAGTTTTCTTTTTTCCTGGACTCTCTTTCAATCTTCAAACTAGCACCTGCTGCAGATTAGTACTGAGATAAAGACCACTTAATTCCAGGTAATGAAGATTTACTGACCCCAGAAATTGAACCCTTGGGACTTTGCACAAGCACTTTTTAACCACCTTCCACAATACTGCAAACCGAAAAAGCAGATTAGTGCAATGTCCAAATTACTAGAGAAAAGAACCAATGCTAAAGCAAGAGTAAGTTCAGCATAAACTGAATTCTTGTCATAACTCACAACAAGAAGATATTAATGTTATGGACAAGCAAATTTTAAACCGATTGGAACTTAAACATGACCAAAGGAAATTGTTCAGAGACAAAATGTTAATCACATAAAAGAGATTAACTGTAAGTATTTGTACAGTATAGGAATGTGGAGTTTGTTGACATGTTCTTTCATCTCACTCCAGAATGTAACAAATTGATGCACCTAATACCAGACAAAACTCAGCATTGTCATATCATAATCTCTGGGACCATTACCATCGACTCTACAGCTGTTTGTGTACATCATGTTGCCCCTTAAGGAGTGGACCAGTTTGATAAAAACCCTAATATCTATCTCAGCTTTTAAACTCTCTTTGTGATAGAAAGTTTCTGCTATCAACCACATCTAAATATAACAAATTGCATATTTTAATATGTTCACCAACTTCATATATGTAACTTTCTTCGTCCTTCCATTCTCAATTGATCATAATAGAAGTTTCAACTTTAAGATAATCACTACATTGCATTGCGACAAATAAACTCCGGATTCGCATAGATCATTGGCAACACTATGGAAGAAGTCAAATCTCACAAGATATTAGATGGAAGGTAAGCATGCTTGCAAACTCCGATGCCTCCAGGAACGCACCAGCCGGCACATCCTCCCTCACGGGGAAGGATGGGACCGCCGTCTGCGCCTGGGACAGCCTTGGAAACTCCTTGCTCCTCCACCTCCCCCTGCGGCGCCACTTCAGTTCGGCCTTTCATCGAGCACGTTAGCGCCGGCCTTGGGACGAGTCTCGCAACCGAACAACCCCGGCCCCCTTGCGTCAAAGGAGCGCCGCAAGGGATGCGAAGGCGAAGGCCGTGTCTGGAGTGTAGGAGGAGACGAGGGTGAAGTGCTCCATTAACGACCAAGTACAGCAGTAGCATAAAGCCACTTCGGGAGTGTAGAAATGGAAGAGGTGGTCTTCGTCTACCGAGTACATTAGGTCGATCAGGGTCACACTTGGGTCCATCAAATCGACTATATATATATATATATATAATCACCGCCGGACGGCAAAAGGATGAGGTGGTCTTCTTCTATTTGGTCCGAACAGGTCAATTCGGCGGAACAATTGGGTGCATCAATTTGGCTCTACACATCTGAAAGAAATCACTACGCAAACGGCCTATTAATACAACACATTTCTTGGCTACGGTCGTCGTCCTCAAACTCCTCCCCACCGCTCCTCTCTCTCCCTCATTCCTTCTCCTCCTCTCCTTCCCACTCTCTCTCTCCCCCTCTTTCCCTCTTCCCATCCTCTAATTGCACCCTTCCCTCGCTCTAAATGTCTCTGTCTCTCTTTCTCCTTCTCTGCTTCCTCCACCCACGCCAACCCAGGGGGGAGCAGCACTTTCATCATCTAATTATCCCATTGCCAGATTACAGTGAAGAGGAAGAACCTCGTTGACATGGCCAGCTATCCCCTGGTGGCAAGTTTCGCGGCCTTGGTCGCTGTCCTACTCCTCGCGGCCCCTGCCACCGCCAAGCTCACCACCCTGTACTATCAGAAGACGTGTCCCAATGTCGAGAAGATCGTGTCGGATGTGGTAACAACCAAGCAGATCAGCACCCCCACCACCGCCGCCGGCGCCCTCCGCTTGTTCTTCCACGACTGCTTCGTCGGAGGCTGCGACGCCTCCGTGCTCGTGTCGAGCAACGCCTTCAACCGCGCGGAGCGCGACGCCGACGACAACGTCTCCCTCCCCGGTGATGGCTTCGACGCCATCGTCCGTGCTAAGACCGCGCTCGAGCTGCAGTGCCCCGGTGTCGTCTCCTGCGCGGACGTCCTCGCCCTCGCCACCCGCGAACTTGTCCTCATGCTCGGCGGGCCTTTCTACCGCGTCCGCCTCGGTCGTAAGGATGCCCTCACCTCCACCGCCGCCTCCATCACAGGCAACCTCCCCGGCCCCAACATGACCGTGGACCAGCTCATCTCCCTCTTCGCGCGCAGGCACTTCACCGTGCAGGAGCTGGTCGTCCTTTCCGGCGCCCACACCGTCGGCTTCTCCCACTGCAGCCAGTTCGCCTCGCGCATCTTCGGCTACAACGGCGGAGCGCGCGACGCCCACGACCCGGCCATGAGCCCACAGTTCGCACAGGCGCTGCAGAAGGCGTGCGCCAACTACGTGAACAACCCAACCATCGCGGCTTTCAACGACGTGATGACGCCCGGCAAGTTCGACAACATGTACTACCAGAACCTGCTGCGAGGACTGGGGCTGCTGGCCTCCGACCAGGCGTTGGCGTTAGACCCGCGGACAAGGCCCTTCGTGCAGCTCTACGCCGCCAACCAGACGGCCTTCTTCAACGACTTCAGCCGCGCCATGGAGAAGGTCAGCGTGCTCGGCGTGAAGGCGGGACGCAAGGGCGAGGTCCGGCGGCGGTGCGACGTGTTCAACAACCTCACCACTTGAATCATTGATTGATGGCTTGACTGTGGATTGCGTCTGAATCATCGAGCTTGATGACATTGGTTTGAGAGAGCTGTGGGTGGAGAGAAGAGGAAGACAGTGAGAGCCTTAATTCATGAGATATATATTGATCACAAAAAATAATCCTAATTATTCAGATTTGATCTGATCCTCTCACCTCATTGAATTGGATTGAGATATAGTCATATTTGATAGTCAATCAGATATGGTCTTGTTGGTGAGATGATGATATGGTCTAAAAGAAAATGTTATCCACTGTTCTTTATCAACTAAACTAATTAATACCTTCGATTGTAAATTATTATTATTTCTAACAAAATGCCATCATAAACAAAAATAAAATTTCTACTCAAATTTCGCTCAATTATGAGAGATTGTCATCCTTTCATCTCTACTGACTGCATTCTCCCCTATAACTTTTATTTTTGAGTCAAATACTAATTGGAATGAAACAAAAAACTTATATATTTAAAAATTAATTATTTTATATTATTATCTCATACTTACCTAATGGTATAAATACAAAAATTAGCCTCTTAGTCTATAAACCTTACATTAATACAGAATTTGTAATGGATCACCGAACAAATTAGGTTTTTTTGCTAGTAATACAAAGAAAATCATGCACACAAGACTTTAAATAACTCACGACAACTACAATCAGATTACAAATAAAAAAAGAATTAAGCCATCAACCATTTGAAATACCTTTTTTTTTTTTTGCATATTCTTGATGAACACATATATACACATATGAACATGGAAGAAGTTCTATCTTTGAGACGATCAACATATTTTTGAGGTGACTTCAGCTTAAGGACTCTCCATCATCCCTTGATTTTTGAAGAACTGGTTTTATGATATTTTATCCCTGTTAGATAATCTCAGAGTTACAAGCACTGTCATCTCTCATCTTCCTAGATCTTCCCATAATATTAGTCATTCCTTGGCAAACACTGGCAGATCTCAATATGCTTCTTTGATCCTTTTGTCACATACTTTGTAACTATATCTTGATCAATATAATACCATTTGTTAAAAGAAAGAAAGAAAAAAAAAAACTCACCTCATACTGTTAACTTAATGATCTACTTCTATCCTGGTTTCTTCCAGAATCCTTGTGCTACTTCAGCAGCTTTGTCATCATAGTGCCTGATGCATAAGTTTTGCCAAACAAAAATATTTCAAGTGTGTGGAAGGCCAAAAACCTATGTTAAGATAACAATATTTAACATAATAATAAAGACTTTACCTGCAAGGGCATAAAAGGTGCTCCCACTGAGTCTCTATGATCAACAAAGCCCCCAAGGAAGACAACCAATCTTCTTAGGTCAACAAAATGATTGTATTTTTTTTCTTTGTTCCAAAGTTCTTAAACAGTTGACAAAATCCAAGTAATAGAGGCCAAAGAGAAAATAAAGGAAAAGTGAAAAATCAATGTGTGTTTGCTACATTAGTTCAATTCAAGAAAATTTAGATCAGTTAAAAGAGAATGAGACAGTATTGTGGGCAGTAGTCTATTTTCCACCAGAGTGAATGATGGTGCAGCTTTTATGCACTTCATCATCCAACTCAACTCCCCATATATGTATGTCCATCATTGAATTGCAAGAGGCAAAGACAAGAAATCATTAAACTCATATATTGTTGTATCTATGAGTAGCTGAAGAAAATAAATCCTGAAGAGTAAATTTTCCTCAAGAATAAAGTTATGCAGAAGTCAAAGAATACTTTCTTGCTTCCAATGTGAAAGATGGTTCTCACATAGTTGAATTAATAAGAGCAGCTTTAATTCTTATCAAATAGGGCCCTATTTTAACCATTTTGATAAAAATGTTTAACAGCTTAAATTTACCTTGATTACAACTCCTTTGTCGACACAAAAGTGTGTTCCTGAATACCATACCGTACCGGCATACTGATCAGCTGTCGGTATGGTATGTACCTAGTTGTACTGAACTGTATTGAGCGTACCAACACACGATGTACTAAGATGAATCGATATACCGCTCGTAATGGTCTTCTATCGGACCGGTATGTATTGCCCCATATCGAGTGGTACGGTACGATATTGCAAACCATGGCTCCGAGAACTTCCTCATGACTTCAACAGAGTTATCAGATGGCTCTACTGAAAAATTTTAAATGTTATTTTATATGACAAGATGTATTGACTAAATATAACATTTAAGAGGCTGATTGTAAAGACAATTATAATATTATTTGATGAGAATTCTCACAGATGCTGCGTCTACTTTGCACTTGGTACTTAGGTACTTAAAAAAAAATAAAAAAGTTTCTATTACATAAAATGACGTACATGACACTCACGTTCGAATTTAAGACATATTACTCATACAACAATGCTCTAATCAACATTTGATACTTAGGTACTTTCGTGATGTATATTAGTGACACCAGAATGATTCCTTTTATGACAAACATTCATCCTGCGGAATCACACCAATCCAAAGTCCAACCCACAAGCTTTGCTGCTGGCATTTTTTTTCTTGTTCCAAATTATGCCAAAATCCCTCTTATCAAAATGATAGATTGTGAAAGTATCATTAGGCACATTTCATCAAACTTGTACTTGTTCCTTCCTGAAGAAAGATAGTTTATGGCTTTTGAACATTGTCATTAAATTGTGAACACACCAAAGATTCAAATAGAAACAATCGATTCTTCCCGATATTATCATTATTTTTTTGTTAATCAAGACTTGACATGTGGAGTCTAATCAATGCCTTAATGAACATGCCATGATAACTTTTGGAGATAACAAGTAACACCTTAAATATGCTACATCAAATCTCGTTGAATTGGACTTAACCTCTTAGACTACCTATGATCATTTTTTTAATCTATGACTGACATATCAAAATTGACTTGACAATTAGAGGGATCTTGATTGACGTACTCTAACATAACCCTTTATAGGTACAAACGAAAATGTGATACAATTGTTTTTTGTCTTGGGATTGAAGTACGATCCAAAATACTAGGTACATATATTTTTTGCATTAAGTGAAATTCTTCCTCATTCCAATTGAAATTTTGTCCTTCTAAATGCAACCACACTAAAAATGGGCCAACTAGGTTCAACTTAAGTTGAATCAACGATCAAAATTAACCACATCAGATTGACACTATAAAGAAGACCTTCTGAGAAAATATCGTAGGAAAATTGAACCCATGAAACTCCACAAGAGCATATCAATGAAGAGACCCCTCTCTTGATCTTCACCTCATCAATCGACCTTGGATCATGTGGAACATGAGTGACTTCAGGATGCACATGACTATGTATGTTAGTTATGACACCCTCATGTGCTTAGCTTTTCCAATCAATTCACAAGGGAATGCTTGAGTGGTATTCCCACATTCCATCATCTCAAGAAGCTATCTCAAGGGGTAATGTATGCCCAAGTCCGGAATATGTTTCAAAGTCAAAGAGATGCACACACCCTCGAGGTTCATCACTTCCTCATGTTAGCTGCAAGATCAAGATGGTCACACCCTCAAGACACTCGCACCCTCAAGTCAGCTATGTCTCTAAGTCAATTACGCCATCAAGATGATCACACCCTCAAGTAAGTGTCATGAAGTTGGATGCACCTTTCAAATATTTTCAAGACGGTCACATCCTTAGATATAGTTGTATCCTTAAGTTGGTCGCATCCTTAGAGAATGTCATATCCTCATGTTGATGAGATCCTTAAAACGATGATATATTTCAAGATAACATCTTCAAGTCAGTCATATCTTTAACTAGTTTTCAAGTTGATTGAGTATTCAAGACGATCTAATCTTCTAAGTTATCTCAAATCAACCTTAAGCAGACCACACATTCGAATTTCTCATGCCATGCCTTTGAGTCGACTACTACTTGACGCGACCAGATCCACCCAACTTGCTCAAGTCCATAGAAAGCAGGCCGTACAACAAGCCAGATGGCAGGTCGACACTATGCTCAATCTAGAGTTACTTCGTCTGCTCCTTTGTGGAAGTGATGCCCTCTAACATTATGACAAGTATCTACTTGTGATTATATTGATAGAGCAAATATACAAGAGGTATACTCCCAGCCAAAGCATGACTCTTATCAATACCACCTCTCCTCATGCATGAAATGTTTTTACCTAGGATTAAGAAACATCAAAGGTATCTGATGCAATCGATCAAACCAAAATGTACCCTTGTGAACTTTAGATAAAAAAAAGTATCCAAAGCATGTAATATCGACGAATAGGTCCAAAGCATCCCTACGATATATTTTTTTAAAATAGAAAAAAATCAAAAGGGCTCAACATTAATAGGCCAAAGCATCCCTTTATGCATGAAACATCCATTTAAGACAAAAAAACATTCGAAACATTTAAGGTGTCTAATGCACTCAAGTCATCCCTTTACACATGATGCGTCCATCCAAGACAACAAAATATTTAAAGTGCTTGACACAATTAGAGTATTATTTTGCGCTTGATGCGTCCGCTCAAAATACAACATACGAAACACTTGACTTTACCAAAGTATATTTTTGTTTGAGATGCATTCACCTAAGAGAAAAAAAATCAACCAATGTGGTCGATGTGACCAAAACATCCCCTTCGAAAACATGTACCACAAAGCATAACGAGGGCAAATATTATGATTATTATTCTCGATCAATCGAGACTCGACATGTAATGTCCACTCAACACCTAACGAGCCATATCAATATGACATCTAAAAATAATATTTGTTCATAAAACCTGACTATTACATAATTAATTTTACATGAATCAGTTTCTTCAATTATGTCTTCATTCAGACTCACTGAACTATGCTTGAGCTTTTAAATTTCTTACGGATATTTTTCGATCTTGACTAATGAAACTAACTTGATCTTCAAATGAGTCTTTTTGTAGAAATAGACTAAAATAAGATGAGAATATCTCAGTCATCCGATTGAAGCAGAACACAAGATATAAATATCTTTTTACCCTTAGTGATATTCTCCCTCATCCAAATCAAACTTTTGTCATCTCTTACAACGTGACGACACCCCCAAAAGTTGGACAGATCGGATCAACTTCATTGACCATATCAATTGCTCCACGGTAGTCCTTGAGCTCCCGAGAGTTACCGGTTGAATCAAGGAGAAAGTAAAGGAGGCGAAAACTCATCCACATGAAGGCGTTCAACATAACGAAACCGCAAAAGAACGGACCTTTTGCACGGACCATCAGACGACGGGGACGACGGCGTGACGAGGTGGCGGGGGTGAGGCTCGGAAACACGACACGAGGGAACGCGGTTTGGATGCTCATCGCGACCGCTCCGAACAGGAAGACGAATCCCCAAGATGGCTCCTCCTCTTCCCTCACTCTCACGTCTCTCAACAGGCAAATGTGTCCGTAAATCTGGATTTTTCGCTCTGTAGCTCCAAATCAGGGAGGGGAACTTTTCTACCCGTTTGTAACTATCTAGGCCTTTACCATCCTGTCTATTGGAGAGACTATGGGCCCTTGTCGATTCATATTGAAGGTAACGAACACACGTAAACCAAACGGGTGCAGAAGGTATGATCGCCCATTCCCCTCGGCCTTGGGATCCTGTACTTTAAGAGCACGCCAACCCACAAAACTACCTTTCTATGTATTGGAAAAAAAGTGGGCCCCGTTTAATTCACAACTGGAGTAAGAGTTTAGTAAAACCATATGGGGGTGGCGAAATCTTGATCACCCATTTTCCTGGGCCACGGGAGCGATCCTCCACCGTAGAGCTGCCTCATCTGGTCCTGTCTCACTCTAGTTGATTGTGATCATCAAGATCGTGTCCACGATTCCATCATAGATGAACGGTGGAGAACTACTCTCCGCCTCCATAGGCACATCGGCGTTCCCGCCAAACCTACCGCATCAGCTCCCATTTCCCGCCAGGAGTTATATTCCATATTAAAAATGAAAGGGCCGGCTTGATTGAAAGGGTTCAGCAGCAGCCGGAAGTCCCCCATCTCTCTCTCTTTCTCCCTCTCGATCTCGTTCTCGATCGGTGCAAGATGGACGTGAACGAGGAGGCGATGGCTGCTCACAGGCGCGCATTCCTGGACTTCTTCGATCAAGATGTAAGATTTCCAGTTGTTTCTTGTCGATATTTCCTGACAAAATCAACCTTGTTTTAGTTGATTTAATGTAAGGTTTCGATTTTTATTAAGGTGGGCAAGGGTTTCTACATGAAATCCATAAGGGACATGATCCAGAGTAAGCGCCGCCGCCTCATCGTCGGCGTTGATGACATCCGCAATTACAGTCTTGATCTTGCCCGGAGGTAAGAAATCGAAAGATAAATCCTCTTTCCTTTACCCTAACAGATCTCTAATTAATCGACTCTCTGATTAGTTAGATTTCGTCCGGATTTTTTTTTTGCCGTAAAAGATAATCGGTGATTAGCGTTAGCGCCTTTCTTTTTATAGGTTGATTCTTAGCCCGGCGGAGTATATCCTGCCGATCTCGGACGCTCTGACGGAGGTCACGCGCAACGTGGACCCAAAGTATTTGAAGGAAGGGGAGCGCGTGCTCGTGGGTTTCAGCGGGCAGTTTGGTTTCCGTAAGGTCACGCCTAGGGATCTCATGTCCTCCTTCATCGGCTCCATGGTTTGCGTGGAAGGCATCGTCACGAAATGTACTCTCATTTGAGCCCTATCGTAACAAGTATCTATGTTTAATGGCGATTTTGAAGCACGAAATGTACTCTCATTTGTGCCCTATCGGAACAAGTATCTATGTTTAATGATGATTTGAACCTGTTACTTATAATTGGTTTTGTTTAGAGCAATTGCTTAGACCAGTTGATTGCATAGATGATAGCAGATCATATAATGCAAAACATGAAGTATTGCTACTTGCAATATATGTTTTTAAAAGAATTCTCCCAGCAGATTGAACAATTGGTTTATCACTGTCGGTGCGGCTGATTACCACAGCAAAATTTTTGTAGAATTACCAGAAAAATAAGTTATCTGCTTGTTTACATTCAATTTCCTTGTTTTGCTCTTCTCTTACCTGGCAATGTTTTGTGTCTTAAAGGGCATCATTTGGTTAACAGCTTTAGTAATCCAAATTTTGTATTTTAAATAGATTTGAACCATTGAATTAATGTCATCTTTGATTTCCTGCTAGTTGTTCAACAAAATAATATCTTCTCTGGGTTACATTATTTGTCTGATATGTTTCCTATCTTCTCCACTTCTTATTTATCTCGTAAAAATTGAATCTGTGTAATATTCTCTTTTTCGGCACATTGAGGCAGTTGATGCTTTTGCATTGCTCAGTGAGATGTGGTGTTACACCATCAGTTCCATGTATCTAATCCTTACCTTTTAATTGTGTGCAGGCTCTCTCGTAAGGCCAAAAGTTGTTAGAAGTGTTCACTATTGTCCTACAACAGAACAATTTACAACTCGTGAATACAGGGACATTACATCGATGGTGGGCTTGCCCACAGGTTCTGTTTATCCAACCAGGGTAAAGTCTGACTTCCAAAGCATGATTCAACTTTATAAGTTCTTATAGCTGATATCTATCCTGATGCATTTGTTGTTTTGATAACTTGTTCAGGATGAAAATGGTAACCTATTGGTTACTGAATATGGTCTTTGTGAATACAAGGATCATCAAACTCTATCCATGCAAGAAATGCCTGAAAATTCTGCTCCTGGTCAGCTTCCCAGGACTGTAGATGTCATTATCGAAGACGATCTAGTTGATTGTTGCAAACCTGGTGACCGTGTAGCAATTGTGGGGATATATAAAGCACTTCCTGGGAAAAGCAAAGGCAGCTTGAATGGAGTCTTCAGGTTCAATTCATTAAAAGATGTGCTTTTCTTCTAGTTTATTCATACAGCATTTGTTGAGCTAATTTTTCTTATAAAGGAGAGAATTGCCATTATTTACAGGACTGTTCTCATAGCCAACAATGTTTCTCTTTTGAACAAAGAAGCAAATGCACCAATATATTCTCTTGAAGATCTGAAAAGAATGAAAGAGATAGCAAAGAGAAATGATACATTTGATTTGCTTGGAAACTCGCTGGCACCATCAATATATGGTCATTTGTGGATTAAAAAGGCAGTCATCTTGCTGATGCTTGGTGGAGTTGAAAAGAATTTGGAAAATGGAACCCATTTAAGAGGGTAGGTTATCCCAGTCTATGAGCATGATCAGTCTATTACTTTTTGGCAGTCACACGATTGGCTTGTGTATATCTGCTTGTTTTCTTGAATGTCCTGTAGTTGTTGATTTTTTTCTTAATCTCAGAGATATAAACATGATGATGGTTGGTGATCCTTCAGTTGCCAAATCCCAACTGTTAAGAGCTATCATGAACATTGCACCACTAGCTATCTCAACAACTGGTCGAGGTTCATCTGGTGTTGGTTTGACAGCTGCTGTCACTTCTGACCAGGAAACTGGTATATCATATTGATTATCTTGCATAAATTCTTTTATGGCTGTCTTTAGAAATTTTTTTATGGTTCATATGACTAGGTGAGAGAAGGCTTGAAGCTGGTGCAATGGTTCTCGCTGATCGTGGTGTTGTGTGCATTGATGAGTTTGATAAGATGAATGATCAAGATCGTGTTTCCATACACGAAGTTATGGAACAACAGACTGTGACGATTGCCAAGGCAGGGATTCATGCATCACTAAATGCTAGATGCAGTGTTGTGGCTGCAGCAAACCCTATTTATGGAACTGTAAATTCTCTCTTTTACTTGTTTCAGAGTAATCAAATGGATCAAAATTAGTCTCTTGATTCCTTTTTTTCTTGATGCTATCAGAATATAAGATGCTGTCTAATCTTTATCTATGTACTTCTTGAACAGTATGACCGCTCATTGACACCAACAAAGAACATTGGACTGCCAGATTCATTGCTTTCTCGTTTTGACTTGCTATTTATTGTCCTTGACCAAATGGATCCTGAAATTGACCGTCTTATTTCAGAACATGTCTCACGAATGCATAGATATTGTGCAGACGGTAGAGGTATTGTAGCGCTTCATACTTTGTTACTGATATTTAGATTGTAGATGAGTGTACACACATGAATCTCTTGCTGAGCCATTTCAACATGTACAGGAGTTGGAAGTCTTGATAAATCTTCAAGATACACTGAAGAAGATGATGGTGATGCAAATGCATCCGCTTTTGTCAAGTATGATCGCGTTCTTCATGGCCAAGAAAAGAGAAGGGGTAAAAGGCAAAAACATGAGAGACTCACTATCAAGTTTCTTAAGAAGTTCATCCATTATGCAAAGAACAGGATTCAGCCAAAGCTTACCGATGAGGTGATATTAAATTGAAAAACATATAACTAAGCTATCTTGCAAGGCAGTATTAATATATACTGTTGGTGGTTGACCTTGAAGAAGTAAACACCAGTCCACTGGAATGGAAAATTTGACTTAAGAGTCAGATTCAATCTAGCTAAAATTCACTGTCATTTGTCTGCACTAATGTCTTCTATCTTTGGCCCCTATCAATTATTTGAAGGCTCCATGTCCTGTTTTTGAAGAAACACCTTTTCAGTTGTTAACACATTCTGATGCATAGGCTTCCATCATCTATTGCACTGTATACGCACCGTACAACTTGCTTTATTTTAGATAGTGTTATGATATTCCTACTTATACCTATCCACAGGCATCTGACCATATTGCAACTTCGTATGCGGAGCTTAGGGATGCCAGTTCAAATGCAAAGGTACACTCCAAACAAAAAAAACTAGTGTTTTACTTAAGTGGTTACCTGGCTCCATTTTGTCCTCAAAAAGTTGATTGTGACCACAAGAACTGATGACCCAAGTGTCTGATATATATTTCCTCTTTTTTTCAGTCTGGAGGAGGTACACTTCCTATAACTGCAAGAACCTTGGAGACTATGATCCGTCTTTCAACAGCTCATGCCAAATTGAAGTTGAGAAATGAGGTACTTGTCATGCCTCTATTACTTGACATGGTTTAAGGAAAGCTACATCTGAAGTGGAAAAACAGTCCACCCTTTTAACTTGTTTTTGAGAGAAGCTGGCCTTTGACCCTCCTATCTAATAGCTATAGTTGAAGTATTTAGTCACTACTATTCATGTAGACATCTTCAAGTAATGTTTTTCTTTGATATAGGTTTTGAAAACTGATGTCGAGGCAGCTTTGCAAGTCCTAAATTTTGCTATATATCACAAAGAACTAACTGACATGGAAGAGCGTGAACAACGAGAACTCGAGATGAAACAGAAAGCTGATCATGATGCTGGCCAGAACATTGGTGATCTTGGTGGTAGAAGGTGAATTCTGGAACAAAATTGTTTTTCTTTCAATCCTAATCCTAGGATGGACATCCAACGGATACAAGGATGGCCCATGCCGAACAACTTTACATAAGACTTCTTTATGCTATAGTAGTCTAGAATGTCTAAAATATGGTCTATACTAATGATAAAATTTGTCCTAATTGCTTTAATAACTAAGTGGCCTTAGTGATCAGATTAAACTGAAGTATGTCCACCTAACAATTCAATAAAGCCAAATTTGAGCTATTACCATCTGCTGCAGCTTTACATCTAAACCTTGATTTGCAAGATCTTTGGCTTTTGCTCCATTTCTTATTTTTAATTAGACTGCCTTTTACATCACTATGATTAGGATTGTTGGTAGTTATAAATGATATAGAATAATGTTGAAGTGGTACTGATACATGAGAATGAAGTCTTCACTGTTGAAGAAGTTAGTATTAACAATTAAATTCTAGTATCCTTTTATCTTTTTGAGAGTGACACATTAGTTTGAACTGACCTTTTGTTGTCATGCCTTATCTTCAGTACCACTATGGACGAGATGGATGTAGATATACACCATGCTGCAGATCAGGATAATCTACCCACAGACAGGTCGACAATCTTAATCCTTTCTGCAGTAATATGATATTCCAATTCCATTTATATAATATCAGCGGCACATATAAGCCTCCTTTTAATGTGCAGAATTGAAGCATTTGAATCCATCTTAGGCCAGCATGTGCTGGCCAACCACTTGGATCAAATTTCCATATCTGAAATCGAACAGATAGTCAACAGGGAAGCAGTGAGGCCTTACACCAGGCATCAGATATCATTGATCTTGGAGGTATGTAGTTTTGATAATTCTGAAATAAACTTGATGATTTTGCCTGAAAATAAATGAACTTACTGATGGTTTGAAGCGTTTCTTGCATGAGCCACTTGAAATCATCAAAATAGAAATTTTCATTACATAGCAGTTGTCAAAATTTTCTTCTAGTACTTATATTTTTGGTTTACTTCTTCCTTAACAGAGAATGCAGGATTCCAACAGAATTATGATCAGGGATGGAATTGTTCGAATTATTTAGCCAGGAAATTCTCCATTGTTTAGAAGTGCACCATGATGGTGATAAGCTATCATCTGCACCAGGAAGATCATTACATCCCCATTATCCCCCTACTGTTTATTTGACCCTTTGTACTGTTGTTTCGGAGCATATCAGTTTGCATGAACCTAATGTGGAAGACTGCCCTGTTCAGTATCCTTTTCCTGTGAATGAATCACACTCTAATTCTGTGTTTGTCTGCCCATCTTCCTTTCTTTGACTAGTTGTTCTACTGGATGGGTTGGCTTTCTAGATGTATAAGGTTGCAACATGAGCATCAAAGAAAGCTGCACATTGTGTATATTCCCATTCAACAACATCAGTACTATTTATCGTGATTTCCTTGTAATAACGTTTTAAGTGACCACCACATGCCATAATGACACCCATGGCTGCAGCTGCTGCTATGTCTTGCTACTGCCCATGGTAGGGCTGGCGACCAACGAAGGTTGTTATTACCCTTCATAGTACTATCAATGCCTGCCTGTTGCTAGACTAGCGACGCAACCATCAACCGCAATAGGGCTATCGAACTTTACAATATTGTCATTGACAATAAGCTACGTATGGTGGCCTATCGACCAAAATCGAGCAATATGGTTTCATTCGCGATTCCACCCATGTGGGTGAGGAAACTTACTTTTGTAAATAGATCGGATCATCCTTTCCCAAGTGAAGGGTGATAACATAAACAAATCTAATACTTTTGTGATTTAGGGTACAGTAGACTCTGATATCAATTATAAATATAAAAATTATAATCATATTATTATTATTTAAAAAAAATTAATATCAGAATTGAAATCATAAAAATTATAATCATATTACTGTTATGTAAAAAAATTTTAATATCAAAATTGATATCAAATAACGATATATTAAGATCAAGACTACGTATCATTGGATGTTAATCCAAAATAATTTTATCTCTAATTCAAATAAGCACCAAAGGGACTAATAGGGAGATGAGAGTCTATATATATATATATATATATATATATATATATATATATATATATATATATATATATGAGAGCAAAAGAAAATTACAAATTACAAATGTCAGAAGTGGGAAAAAATTAAAATTATAAACAAAATTTTAGTATTATTTATTGTTAAGGATAAAAAACTAAAAATGTTAATTTGAGAATTGGATATGAACTTACAAGTGAGTTAATTTTCTCTTGAAGAAACATCTGTTATGCGTTTCTCAATTAGCAAATTATTATTATCAATATGTTTTTCTGAAGGGAAAAAAATAGAAAAATTATAAATTACAAAACTCAGAAGTAGGAAAAAAAAATTAAAATTATAAATGTCAGAAGTGGGATTTGAACCCACGCCCTCTTTCGAAGACCAGAACTTGAGTCTGGCGCCTTAGACCACTCGGCCATCCTGACGTTGTTGAAAATGAATGATTTTTATTTTATATAACTACATTTACAGAATAACTTTTATGAGTCCCAATAACTCATAATTTCTGGTGGTGCTCCTGAATTATTAAAAAAAAGGGGTGTAAAATAAGTTGTATTAATGATTAAAATCTCAGTCCCCAATTTAATCAACCAGCTGCAAGAATCAAGAATTCATAAGCAGACAAGATGAAACACCTCAGGTAGCTTCCATTGTGATGAGCAGCCTGTCCACTTGTAAAAATGTATGAACACTTTTTTATGCCTGTGGGAGTCCTAACAGTTGCATTTGATACAAATCACACTATTTCCCTGTCAAATCATGTAGGATAGATGTAAGGTGTGAGAGAGAGAGAGAGAGTGATAGACACTTGCTCACTTTGTGGGACTGCTAGCCACCAAAACAAGCAGTATAAATAATGCCAGCCAAAAGGAAAAGCTAAAGCTAAAGCTAGCTTTCTCCTTTCTTTTGTTTTGCTTTACATGATGATATTGTGAGTGAAGGGTTTCATCTTTTTAATTGTTACTGGCTCCCAAGTTTGGCACCCTTCCCTCAAAGATGGGGACAACCCACACCACCATATCCTTCCACTAGAATTCATGGCCATGAGGAAGCTCTGACAGTTCCTACTCCCTCACTCCACAGTGCTGATGGATAAAGAGAGAGAAACACCATTCCCCACTCCAAGCTTTCCTTTCAAGAAATAAAACTGTTGTTTATACACAAGTATGATTGTGTATATTGATCCTTTTTGGAAGCAGGGTGAAGACTAAAGACTGTGCATGCCAAGAACAACCTTTATATATATGTTTCTTGTAGAATTGTGGTTGAAAACTGGATATGATTCAGAATGGAATCAGAAAGTCTTCATTTGCTAAATAATATCAGTTTGATTGACCCTCAAAATGGCATCATAAAGTTCAATGTTTGGAGAGAAAACAAAAATCAAAATGAGTTTAATCCCTTTGTTATCCAACAAAATATTGAGAATTCTTCCAGTTAATTCCAACAGAAAACCAAATGTCATGGCAGATATAAGCAAAAAGGTTTCTGACATGGGCTTAGTATTGAGCATTTCCAATCTAAGATCAGACATCTTCATCCATTATTCACTGAGAAGTCTGTTCAAGTTGATGCCATATTGTATTAGATGGCTGTAAATACTGTGGAGTATCTTCTATTAATTTCTTAACAAGATGTATGATAGTGACAATATCATCATATTCTGATTCTGGCCATTCTCCCTTCAAGACACAACCCATTACTAGTTATTGTTGTCATATTAATGGCCGAGAATGAAGTCTGCTTTCTTGGTAATTAATCATAATCAGAGGATTATACCTTTGCACTCCTTTTCCTAATTGAATTGAAATTTCACATTCTCTCGAAGCCTACAGTTTCATGCATAAGATCTTATCATTGCCTTTTTTTCATCTTGCACTTGCTGGTTATCATCTGCTGCTTATATTAACATTTGAAGGAAGAAATATATAGATATAATATATTCAGCTAATTTCACAGTAAGAATCCATTTGGTAATCCTGCCAAGAAAATGAGCACTAAAAACAATTATTTCGGTAGATGCCTAGAAACAAGAGCATCCAAAATTTAGAAGAGAAATACTTGTGTTAACATAACAAGCAGGAAAATACAAATTTGAAACTGATCATAAATCAGATTTATTGTATGAAGAAAACATACTCGATGTTGAACACATGGCAAATTGATTTAAGTACTCGATGAGGCAGCAATAAGAAAGATTGCATTTTGAGAAAGATCATTTGTGATCGAAAATATGAAATGGATCTTGAATTGTAAAACAGGAATGATGGAAATGAATCGTTTTTAATCAACTTCTCACGGTGGTCGATCATATTTCTCATACTATAATCTAATCTATTGATTATCTTTTTGATATTGGTATCTTTTTCTTTTTGACGAATATCTATTAAAATATTCAGATTGGTTAATATAATATTACACAGTGATAAGTCTTAAGTTCGAGTGCATATATGAACATCATGTATGTTATTTGATGTAATATTTAAAAGTTTTTTTTTTATATTGTTAATATCATCAAATCTGTGGGATATCATCTCAAAATCTTAATCTTTAATTTCTTTATCTAAAAATTCTTTGATGGTTTTCCATCTTTAGTAATTCCTCACTCTCTTTATTTTTTTCTTTTTTAAAGTTTTTCTCTCTAATAATTATCTCTCTCATTGATTTTCTCTCCGTATATTTTTTTTTTTTATAATCTCTCTTTTATCTCTGATCTCTCTCATATTTCTCTCACTTTAACATCTAAGTTGATTTTGAGCATCAAATTTCTGAGAGAGATTATGGACATCAATGTATCGCCCGATAATATCGTCATTTCGGTTTCGATGCGTCGACGTTCGTATTGAGATGGACGGATGCGATAGAGCGACCGTCTAGATGGGAGTCGGACGGTTGTAATGTGGCGTTAGCGAACCGTTGCTAGCCATGGCACCGTCAGTCGACAATGACGTCTACTCGCTCGCGTGACGTCATGGCATGCTACGTCTCACTCGTCTTATTGCTGTTCATTAATATATTTCTTAAGCATCCCATCAAGTTTATGTTCTTCAAATGATAAAACACAAAAATAAAAGGACAGCTGCTGCTTAAAATCAAAGCAAAAATAATAATAAATTGGGCGCGTGAATGGATGATAACACATGTTAGATGATGTGGGAAATTAGGTCGTCTTAGAACGTAAATATAAATATAATTTTCATCTGCTTAGTGTTAGAAACGCACAAAGAAGATTCAAGATCATGATTACAATATACAATTTCATAGCAAAATGGTATTCCAGAGCATTTCAATTCACCCTTGGTTTAAGTGTATGTAAATCTTTTTATGCATTTTTTTAATGTATTATATAGTAATATTCTATTTAATTATTTTTATCAAACATATGAGGAGCTTACCAATTAAAATAAGCTTACATACAAACATGTCTATTGTGTTGCCGAGTGAGATTTTTTTTCTTTTGCAAGAAGGTAAGAAAGATAGAATGAGATTTCACTGAACACATGTTGTCTTTGAGAGTGAAAAATGCTTTGTCTTTGAGAGTATCAAAAACAAGATTCAATATAGTTTGCACAGAGACTGTTGGGGGGGATGGGATTTTTGCCTGCAGAAATGAGGAAACATTAGTTTTGTTTTCAAAGCGGGCAAAGAACATGTGATGCAAAAAATTACAACCTGTTGATGAGGAAGAAGTCTTATGAATATTGTTGTGGTCTCCTAAGCTAATAAAATCCACAGTCAGATGCATGATTTGTGTGATCAATATGTAAATTACAAGTGAAAGTAGGTGAAGAGCAGTTACTATAATTTGTCAACAAGGAAAACCAGTTTCCTTCTCTCCTTTAATTGACAAGTCAAGGACCAGACAGGAAAAGGCAATGGAAAATAAATAAGACTCAGTTGCAATCACCAGCAAAATATAGAAATGAAAGGATCATTCCTGCAGGATTATTCAAGTAGATCTTTTACACAACAATGAAAACAGCATGAATTTTGGAAGTTCTTCAAGATCTGCAAGAATGTATGGCATAACACTGTCCTCCTAAAGCAGAATAAAGTAATCAGGAGAAAACAGCTAGGTTGACAAATCTCTTTAGTGTTTCAGTCAAATTCCAACCAAAATGAAGCAAATAAACACCTCAAGATGTGGCCTATGGCCAAAATCTCATTTAGATATAACAGCTGATGGTACAAATGTACAGCAACTGACAGCTCTTCCAAAGTTCAAAATGTTTCGCTGCAGCATGGATGATGACGACGGTCATGCCTACAAACTTAATATGTTGAGAAAAATGTAAAATCTTAATTGCTGTCCTCGCTTGGTGAGTCTGGCGGAGCAAATATTAGTTGCCAGTGTTCTAGAAGAGCTACAACTTCTTTGAGATGAAAACAATCATATAACAAGTTGTTTTCAACTAACTTGATCAGTGTACTTTGATGACAAACTAGAGAACATGAGATTGCTTCTCATCATCAAGCATCCCCATAGCTTTAATCAAAAATGCATACTCGAAAGCCACATCTTCACAGTGTATGTAGCGGCCACCCTCACCAAAGTGCCCACCACTCATATTTGTCTTCAGAATCACTGACTGCGAACAGGTAGGGCATGTCTTCTCCCTCACTTGTGCCACCCATTTAGCAGCTTCCCAGACTCCAACTCTAAAGAACAAAGCATGGACTTGACATAAGACATCTTTCCAACCAATAGTTAATATCAAGGCATATTTCGAATTGCAATTTTAGACAAAAATAATTATACATCCCAGGTCAGTGAATGGTGTATATCCAAGAATCGGTTGAAGTGAATCAAGACTTAAGTGAAATAAGCAGTCAGAATAGAGAATTATAAGCAAACAAACACATTGTTTTCGATAATAAAGGCATTTTTAACTGTTTGTTTAGTTATTGTTCAAATATGTAGATTATCTTCTAATGCTCTATTAAACTGATGGTAACTACAAGCCATATATTTTTCATCTTACTCTACCATAACTTAAATCAAGTCTTTTGTACATAATAATGCTGCCACTGCAATTTGCTATCTTAATTTTCATCCAGGCTACTCGAACCATTGAATGGAGGGCATTTATAGTTAGCAGGATCTGTTGTGTCTCCTAAACTATGCGGAAGAATGTAGCCTTGAAAATTTGGGTTCTTCTTTGTTGTAGCCAAAAGCGTAATTCACCAATATGCCATAAATGGAATAAGATTTTTTTTTTCTTTATGACCATGTTAATGTATAAAATAAAAATCCTTTGCATGCTTTCACTTTTCCTGAAGAGATGATGGAATTCTGGGTTATCCATCCATGTTAACATCTACATCTTTCCCATCTTAATCCTAGCTTTCAAAAATGCTCACAATTAGCCCAAAGACTTGCTACATGTGCTGTCATTTTACAAGATAGTGGCTCTCTCACCAATTGCCAGACAGAAAGATGACACAGAAAGATAAAACCAGAAATCCACTCATCTCTCACTCATCCCTTTTATTGTTTGTCTATTTGAAGAAACAAGTATGATAAGTTCATGATTACATTTCTTAGTTTGACAGTATGAATCATTAGTTGACTGATATCAGTCCAAGATCACATCGGTCGAAGATTTTTAACATGGCTTACCTACCTAAACATGTTAGTGTTAAGTAAGAAAAGAAAAACATGCTTGAAAGGAGCAAAAAAACAGGGACCAAAGCAGAGAGTCTGTATCTTCTGCTATTATGTTGATACCTCTTTAATACTAAAACTAGGTGAGATTAGTCCAACGTCAGTAGATTGATAAATCATCATCTCATCAATTTTACAAGAACAATCTAGATAATTATATGAAAGAACACTGCAGCATTACACCAAATGACAGACAAACCTTGAGTCATCAAATGATGCTGTAACAAGGACAGAAGGATAACAACCCTGAGTTATATTGTCATATGGAGAATAATGGTGAATTATCTCAAAGTCAGCTTGGTTTCGAGGATCACCAAACTCATCATAGTCCAAAATGGTCAGAGGTAAACAAGGATTCAACATTGTGTTGCAAATATCCAGAAAGGGGACCTGCTTCAAGTCATGAAACACATATAACTTAGGAGAGAAGCTCATTATTTTACATCATAGTACAGTTTGTAATAATTTACAGCTAAAAAAATTGCGAGGTTCAGCCTAATTTTAAACAAACTAATCCACAAAGCAAAGTGTTTGTTTACATTCAAGCTACCAAAACATAGAAAATTTGCAATATCCTTATACTGTCCTATCACTATTAAGATGAATAGCTTATTCACCAAGCAGGTTTCCTCGATGGGAAAAATATAATAATGCAATTCCAATTCACTGAGAAGGCTTATGATTTTAAGCACAAAACCTCCCAGATTCACTTCCTAAAGTAAAGGGAAAGATCTTGCTTTGTCATTCTTCCCACATGACAATCAGGAATGTACTGTACAGAGATGCAAGACCCACATCAGCTTCAAGATGTAAATAAAAATTACAAAAACTGAAATATATCCAGCCAACAATATAGCGTCAGTTTGAGACTTTGAGTTACGCTTGAGAAATAAGCAAATTATCTTCAATCTTCAAGCACTAGCCTATATCTTCTAGGTCTTCTAGCAATATCCTGCCTATTGAACAGAATCATTGAGAATACACATATTTTTCATTCCAACAGGTTATCCTTTTCCTCTTTTTTTCAATAACTACAGAATCCTTGCAAGAATATAGACAGAATTAATGCCAAAATTCAAAATACTGAGTTGTACTCCAAGGTCTAAACCCTTAATAGATCCATGAAAGTCACATGAACAAAGAATCTAACCACCATGGCACAATTTCATACTGGATGCATATGTTGAGACGTGAATAAGATCATATAGACCAGAACAAATATTAGTATCACCTTCAAAATGACAGCAGAGAACAAACTCTGATAGATATTGATAGCTGCAGCAACAAGAAGACCTCCTGCACTGCAACCAATAGCAGCAAGCTTATTCTTATGAACAAAGCCCTCATTGACAAGGTACATGCCACATGCGGTAAAATCATAAATTGAGTTCATTTTGCATGCCTGAGTTCCAGACTGATGCAATGAACCTTCGCCCCCTCCACCCCTATAAGAACGAATACATCTTAAGATGATTGTTGGCAACTGCCAGTAACACAACTGGATGTGGTGAAAGCAAGATTAATCATAAGAACTAAACTGGGTGTGCTCTTGAAAAGCAAACAGCATCCAATGTCAAAATTAAGCAAGCATCAATATTTGTTGACTTATTTACGTCACATAAAAAGTAGATAAAAAATTGTCTCATATGTAATCTCAGTCTTTAGATAGTGTTTCAAATTCTGGTCCAACATCTATACAGGTCCCTGTATGGATCAGGTTATGCAGGGTGTACCAACATATGGTATGCCCCTGTAACGGTCAGCATGGACCAATGCAGGAGAGAGATGAGACGGAGGAGGTGGTGGAGGAAAAAATGGAGGAGATAGCTTTGGGTGCCAAAGGAGGTGGTAACAATGATGACACAAGGAGAAAACAGCAACGACACGAGGAGATGGATGAGACAGCAGCAGAGGTGAAAGTTGTGCTACTGCAGCTGTGCAAAGGATATAACTCTAATAGAAAGCTGCAAATAGCAGCAGCTTACCTGAAAACCATTTTTTATTTTTTTTATCATTTAAACATGTACTGATTAATAAATACCAGTCCAACTGTTTTTTTGAACTTTGGCTTTACATACATGAAAATTTAGCTTTTGTTTGTACAAACTTCTCATCATGCCATAGCATTATAAAGAAGTCCTTCAAATGAAACCCAAAACATGGGAGAAAGGGAAAAAAGCTTTCATCTTTAACCATGAGTTAATAGTGAAATGGAAGTACTTTCATGCAATTTTGTGAGCCTTTTTAGGACAAATCAAGTATGATAATCATGAAACTTGAGACTTTGGCATGTGAGGAGAGGCTAATGGAGTAGCCAATAACCAGATGAAGGAAATACTAAACAAATTTATAAATGAAAACTACTGGATTAGAACTTTAAAAATTGGCCAAAATAAGATAAAAATTCTGAACCTTTGTGCCAAGATAATAGATATAGTATTAAAGTCTCTGTAAATGTCCAAATATGGCAGTATTGTTGGAGTAACAAATGAAAATTAGTAGAGTCAAGCATCGAATAAGTTAACAAGCACTGATGATCCCATCATATAAAACACCACCAATGTATGATACATACAAATTATTTTTAATTAGCATCCACATTTATAATGTTCATCATTAAAACCAGATTATGCACTAAAATGAAAATTTTGCACACAGTTCAAAAGCTTCCATTTATGGTTCTACCAAACCAAACTATAAAGCAAAAGCAACCCACTATCTAATCACTTGCGAAGTTGAAGCAACTTTATGAGGTATTAATAATAAGCAAGTCTGTAGGTGTCAGTAACCAAGTCATACCTCACATCAGCATATGCAAGAACCCAACCCCGTGAGAGCAAGCTAATGTGATCAGAGCACCAGCTTTTGTCTAATACCTCCCCATAAGCTCCATATCCATGCAAGAGTCCTGGTGATTGATTGGTATGTTTTGCTTTCTGAGAGCACACAATGGTTAACGGTACCATGAAACCATCATGTGAAACAACTTCAATCCTCTCACAGGAAAATGCTTCAGAAAGATCAGTCCATGACTGCTGCTGCCCATCCTCCAAAGACTCATCTTTCTTCGAGTTAGTGATTGTAAAATTAAATGGAAAAGCCACACCATAGGAATCTGATTCACCCTTTTCAGTCAAACCTACTACTTCTTCTTGATGCAGAATGGTAAACGCTCGTTTTCCCATATCATAGTCAGCTATGATATCAGGCATCTGCATTTATTAGGGGCAGAAACCAAAGCCTGACTTTTCACACATGATAGAATAACATAAAAAAAGATAGGCCAAACAGCTTGCCCTTCAAGATTCTTAGGATTAAAAACATTTAATTGCACAAAACAAAAATACTAAGCTTGAGAATGTCAGTGCTAAGCCCTCAAATTTGAATACTTAGACTTCACATTGTAAATATCTTGGATTTATTAATCAGCATAAGGGAAGATATATTATTATTGTAGTTAAAGCAGAATAGTTAAATTGAAGAGAAGCATTATGAGTTCTTTATTTTGTGTGCCTCTTATGTTAAAAGAAAAAAAGAATTATAAACCAAATGTAAGGTCAGCGAGATTAGTGTTGCTAAGACGAGGTACACTTTTAAAGATGTAATTAACATGGCCACAAAGATGTAATTCACATTTTGAATATCTTGGATTTAATAATCAACAGAAGGGAAGATATATTGCTCTTGGAGTTAAAGTGGAATAGTTAAATTGAAGAGAAGCATTATGAGTTCTTTGTTTTGTGTGCCTCGTGTTAAAAGAAAAAAGAACCATAAACCAATTGTAAGATCAGTGAGCTGTGTTGCTAAGACGAGGTACACTTTTAAAGATGTAACTGAGATGGCCACAAAGATCTATTCCCTTGTCAAATGAATGGAGTAATAAGATGTAGATAAAAAATAATAATAATAGAAACAATGAAAAGTAATTTAATTGCTTAGTTTGACCATGATGTTATTTTAAAAAGAGCTCAATGGCAGGATAAGATTCATGTATCCAACAACTGTTAGGACATTACAGCTTATTGTTGTTATTGTGGCAGGTGTTTTCAAGGTAAACAAGTAGTCAAATAATTTTACCACTGGTGATGATATCACAACACGGTAGATGGAAGACATGAAATCGTGGTTGGAGCCAGCCACAATGCTGCAAAGACATGAAGGCACCGGGAAAAACCATGGATTGAGGTTCTCAAGTTCCATTGGTTGCTGCAAAGAAAAAGAAAGATCAACCAGTGAATAAAGAAAACAAATAGACATTACTTGATCACCATCAAATGAGATTCCAGCAATACATAGTCTTTTTAGCAACACCATTCTATTCGATGGCCTATGCCTGTTTCTACTTAATAATTTGCCTTCTAAATAAAATTGATGCCTGATAAACTCTTGAAATCATATAAATAACTGGATAGGGAATCTGATGCAGACTCTCTTCAAATAAATGAATAAAAAATGTACATTCTGATTTTGCTGCTTAGATATATATACAGAAATACAGGCATTTGAATTTCTAATATATAAAAAGAGAAATGATAGCTAAATGATAGCTACAGTATATTGAACTATAGAGGTAATAGATTGATTAGAAGCTATTAATGCAATTCACAGAGATTATGTTAAATTATAAAAACTTGTAGTTATATGGACAAACAATTACCAATATGTACCTCAGAATTAACACTCATTGGGATATCTATGGAACAAAATAAAGGAAGCCCCTTCTGCTGAATAGAGAGAACCAGATGTCTGTGAAAAATATCCATATCTTGAAACGAAATATCTTGTCCTGGAAGAACAATAACCTAAGGACAAAAGACAGTAACTCAATAGGATGAACTACATTTCTTCATCAAAATGAGCTACTTCTAACATGACAAAGATTAACACTGCTTTAGAGGAATCATGAATTATCCAGAAAAAAAAAAGAAGATGAACTTTAGATAGTTGGAGCTTGAAGTTTCATAAATGAATATTTAGAACAAGAAAAATCTAGATCTCAAAAGATGGATACTTTTATATCAGCTGGCAAAATATTTAGTGTCTAGAATGGAAGATGGATATCATACTTCAATGTTAACAGTTGCCATCAATCCATCAGGAACATTCTTTAGAATAAGATATTGAAAGTTGCATATCTATCATTCCACTATTAAGGCACAATCACAAAGGTCATATCTCTTTTGCATTAGTAGTTTTCGAACTAGCATCTAGAACAAAGATTATTGATTCATCAGTTAACCATACACCAAAGTTGTAATCTTTTCCAAGAACGCCAGAGTCATAGCTAATTATGTAAAAAGCAGAAAAAAAACTAGAATCAAAAGTTTACAAATATTTCCCGTTGGTTAATTGCTGTCATTTTTTTATATCAAATATCAGACAACTTTAAAACTGAAAATGATGCATGCTAAAAAAAACTACTGATTTAGGCATCTTAAGAGAGAGCTTAGATTTAATAAAAAAAGAATTTTACAAGAATATCAATTTCTTCAACAGCATATTGGCCAATATAGCAATAAATGAGAAGTACTATTGTGATCAGCATTCTATACTTCTAATTAAACAAACTGGTCATATATACAAAACATTTCAGCCTCAATCTATAGATATATCACAAGTGTATATTATAGGCAAGTTAAATACCTAAAAGTCAATGCATAATAAGCTTTTCCCTCAAGTTACTTTCTGACCCTTCTTTGTTATTTTCATACTGAAAGCATCTGATTGCCAAAACCAAATGTACAAGCACATTCTTAACTATGGAACAAAACCAAAATAAAAAAGTGTGGGTTCTTGTTCATGGTATCACTTGTGTAGTCAGCCAAATGAATGCAACTGTGATTTTCTATCTCTACTACTGCTGGAAATTTACTGACAGAAATATGCAAGCATCAATATAAAGATAAAATACATGCACAAAGTAATACAAAGATCATCATGAAAGGACTGACTTCCAGATTACAACTAATCTTACAGAGACCTGCCATTCAGCTGTCAGTGACTTTTCTGCTATGCATCTAGCTAAATAATAACCTTCAGCAGCTGAACTGGTGCTTTCTAAAGAAGCATTAGTAAGAATGTAGAAGAAACCATAATGATGTTCCAAAAAGTACTGGACACCAGCCACTCGTTCTCGAACTAACCATAATCCATCTTTCATGTTCTCAGTGTCTATTACATAAACCTGTAATTAAATAATACTCAGAAGAATGAATCTACCAAACGAATATTACTGGAGAACTTTTATAATGACTAGTTTCTCTTAAGTGCAGAGATATGTGGATAAGTAACCTTCCTCGGATGATGTCCTTGAGTTAGAGTTTATAGTGATAAACTTGCCATCTTTTGTGCTTGTAATATCCACACAGCAACTCATATCTTTTTCTGTAAATAGCAGATGATCTTCCAAACCTGAACCCAGCTCCATGGAGAATACCCTGTCAAATATTTGTAAGTAACAACAGAAAAGGAAAAAAAACAGAAAATTCCATTAATGAAATTTTCAAGCAACTTTAGAAGACAATAGAGCATTGCCTATAAGGTCGCTGAGTTGCATCACAAACGGTATACAGTAAACAGCTGCTGTCACCAGCCCATGCCAAGCTAACAACTCCCTCCACTTTTGAATTTGGTATGACATGTCCAGAGTGAAGATCCTTAACTTGAAGTGTAAAAGATTCATTGCCTGAAATGTCCAATGTGTATGCAAGGAACTTGTGATCCAGAGAAATGCGACAAGTTCCTATGTGAACATAACCTGCATATATTTCTAACCTTATTATAAAGCTAACTTTGATTAACTCAATTAAAGACATGGAAGCCCAAAATGTAGATGATAGAAACTTCCCCTGGGAAGAAAGAAGTAAATGTAGGAGAAAAAGAAAAAAGAGTCAGTCACTATAAAATCTCAAGGAAGCACATTGTGTGAATTATCAGTTTAATAAGTAATTTGCTAATTAGTTGCAGTAACACGAAAATATATATTATGTGTCAAAAGATTTAAGCAAAGAATTTAATTTTTTTTGCATTCTGGATAAGTAGAAAATTAGTTCCTCAGAAAACAATAAGCAATGAATGTCAAATGCCATCAAAGAAACTAAAAATAAAAGCTCTAAGTGTAAATAAATGAATCATGATAACATGCACTGTAACAAGAAGCTTAAAATTATTCACAGTGAGAGAATCAGAAATTCAGAATGAATACAGAAAACTAAAAGGAAAAAACAAAAAGGCACTGACTACAAGAACAGGATACAGAATACAGAACACCAGCAAAATTCAGGCATCTGATCAAATTAAAAATAAAAACTGTAAATGAAGTGAAATCAGAGCATTCATGAACACATGCCAAATTGTTCTGCAATTTCATTCCAGTCAAGCAAAATTTCCTCCCTGTGACAGCCTCTCATATAATCCAAAAGTGCTTTTGCATAGCCATCAGGATGCCTCAGCCTCCGGCACAGGACTGGATACTCCCTCCCTTCTGGAATATATTGATAGTACGACCTGACCCAATATATTAATCTTTGGTTAACATAATCATAGAAGTTTCATTAACATGCATAAAATTAGGTAGGACACTATTAGTAATTTGGACTAGTTGTACGATATCTGTCTAAATTCAAGCACAATGAAGCCAGTGATAAATATATTTTGTGGTACGTCCTCATATTGTCAATCTGATTTGTTCACTTATTCACATCTTTGAATTAGAGAATACAAAACATACAATGAATTTTAATGGCTGTATTACTTGGTCTAATTACATTACATACATAATTTAACAAGACTAGGGTGCTGAAAGTAAAAGACAAATAAACACCAGTGAAACCTTTCCTACTTATCATTGACATTAGCAACCCATGCTAAGTTATAAGATATTTTCTACATTAAGCACCAGCCCCGTATATATGCATCAAAGGTTCATTTGAAAGTGTTAGGTAAATCTTCACTTAAGAGTCAGTGCTCTCCATCTTGAACAGGGGCAAAACTGGTAGTGTATTAAGGCCATGCAAAGTAGGCTCCATGTTAAAATCTACAAAAAACAAGAACTGCCTCCAGAAGTATACTCAATTGCCAAAACTAACTTTGGTGGCCAAGTAAGCAGAAAGAATATTTTATACAAAAGCTTGCATTTATTTATATCGAAAAGAACCTAGCAATCTCTAGTTACCAGCACATGTCTAGTGATTCTTTATTATGTGCAGCGAGGCTATGATGATTCACAATTGATCTCAGCACAATCCATGGAAACACATAAACCATAAGTAAACGGCAATCCCTCACGGTAGAGGATGAGCGACAGGAACTTTCGCAATGATTCTAACGATTTGCAATGGGGAGTTCATATACAAAGAATTGACATAACAAAAAAAAAAGTTCGAGACACAGCAGTTTCGTATTGCTGGAAACCATTCAAGAAACAAAATTAACTTTTTCACAGGAAGCAAGAAGACAATAAGCATCCGGCTTTTTCCATACCCTCCACCTCTTTCAACATATATGCATTATCGCTACAATAGATGTCAAAAATCAAGTCTTTCGGACCTATTTCCAAACAACATGCAATCTTTCCGAGGAAAGAAAATTTTCGAGGGCTTCGGACCAATACCAGGGTCCCCAATGCTCTGGCGGAGTTGAGACCTTGTCCGGCATCCGGGACTTCATCTCGCCAACCAGCCTTCGGCGGAGGTCAAAGGTGTCGGTCATGAAGGAATCGGCATAGGCGTTCTCCCGTCCAAGATAATCCACCAAATCCGGGTCGCCGGTGTCGGACATCCAACGATAGGGGTCCTCCCAGGTTCTTCCATGGGCGGAGCAAGTGAAGGGAATCTTCTTGGCTACTGGGGGTTTTAGAGAAGGATGATAAGGGGGTTTTCTTTTGCAAAAAGAATACGAGGCGGAGGAGGCAGAGGCGGAGAAGAAAAGGGAAGAGAGGAAGGGGAAAGGGGAAGAGAGAATCGCTCTTCCCCTAAGCATTGCGGCGTAGGCATCAAAGAGAGGAAGAATCTTCGAAACGAGGACGGTTCAAAAAAGCGAGGGTTTTCTTTTGATCGATAAAAAAAGACTAATATAATAAAACTTATATTTTAATGATGACAAACATATGTAAATATACAAATATATATATATTCATCAAAAACAAATTATTTTTATGTCCCTTTAAATTTAACATGGGCATATATTAATTTTAACACGGCATAATTTAAAAACAAGATCATTCGCATTTAAAAAACAAACGTTATCATTTGAACATGACATTAATAAATCTTAAAAAACTCATTATAATTTTATGAATATTTTTGCAAAATTTTCAATTTAAATTAACTAATTATAATTAATTAGTTGTGATAGAGACAAAAATTTTAAACGGTTGTTAAGGGGAGAATATATATGTATATATATGTGAATAATCTTAAGATTTACAGGTACATCATTGCAAAAGAAAAAAAAAACATGATTTCCGAATTTTTGAAATGATACATATGTAAAAACCCATTAAAAAATGTGATATGATTGATATCAACTCCCAAGCTTCGATCAAAAATGCATGAGAAACCTTAACATAGATTGAGAACACTCGTTGCCCACTGCCGCAAGAGAGGCCATGAGAACATTGCAGAAGGAGAATACTCATTTACTACCAATTCACAGTACAATTACAAGAAACATTGATATCATTCATGAACAGTACAAGCTGAGGTTGGAAGGAAAGGAGATAAATATCAGAATTATTGTACACAGGCTGAAAGAAATTTGAAGGACATATAACATATAAGAGATTAGATGTACAACAATGAAGCACTGTTATAGACTAAGAAAGCAAACACTGTACTATGTAGAAACTGAGAAAGCTCATGTTCAAGTTCCCATCCGCATTGGCCGAGCTGAGTTGCTGATTAGATTTTCTCACTATCACTATCTAAACCCTGCATAGAACGAAGATGTTGACTTAGCTGCCAAATCCATTACTACATCTTGCTATCTTTAAAGAAATAATTGGCATGTGATGCTTTTAGATAATGATACAACTTTAAGTATAATTGCAGCAGAAATTTATCACAGCATCGTGGGATAGGCAGCATATGGAAATGTCGATTAATGATGTGGTTTTCGGTCATGAAAAGAGAGAACTGGTGTCCTCCCTCTCGCTGAGAGGGTACAAGCAATCTCTCTATAGCTCATCCTCCAAAGAAATCTAAGCAAGCAGGTAAGTACACCAGTTTTGTTGTCAACAGAAAAACATAGAAAAAAGTGGGAAAACAATGACTCAGGCAATTACGGTTATGAAAGAATGTTCAACCTAAAGGGCAGCACTATCTCTACAGAAACAAGATTGTAAGGAGAATCTGATATAGATTGCAATAAATCTATAGCAAGGGAGGGAACAAAAGATGCTCATTGGTCATACAGAGAAGTGACAATATGGAAGACCTTAGGTGTGGTGTTGTTAGCTAGCAAAGAACCATGAAATACGTGGAAACAACACCAAATATGTGGGGGCAAGCTTAGTCAATGAGTGCATTTTTAAGAAACAAAAAAGAAGTACAATGTAGTGATTCTCAAAATAATAACCAACTTTACAAAGGCAACTTCCATCATCAAGTAGAAGCAGAATGCATAACCAAATAGTATCACTTGGATAATCATAGCACAATCTCTTCTATGATAAAAAAGCTACAAAGAACATTCTAGTTTGATCATAAAGAGCAAAAGTTCTTGTAGCAACTAGAAAAACATGTTGTACTACAAAATATAAGAAATTTAAAAGATTCCAAATTTGCAAGTGCTGCAAATTTACGAGATCTCTTACCGAGGTGCTCCCAATCTTATCAAAATCATCATCCAAACCATCTTTGCCATCATCTGTACCAGCATAAAATTAGTATAAAAAGAAAATGGAAGTAGCAGTCTAGAATATTGCAAAAATATTCTTCTTATACCTTTATCTATAATGCCAAAATCAAAAAATGTGTAGATGAAATGTTGCTTACCGAGACCCTCATCATCACTTCCAAGATCTCCAAGAAGAAATGCATCCAAATCTTCTGCAGTTAGTGAGGTAGAAGATTTTGGCAGTATCGTTTCTTTTGCGTCTGGTAAAGTAGGTGGGAGAGCTGTTGGATTTTCCTTGACACTATCAATTTGCTTTTGTTCTTCTTTCTTCTTCAACTCCTCCATGTACTGCTTTTCGTAGCTGATTCATTGTAAGGAGAGTTCAATAAGTAATGAAAAGAGTTGCATCTTTTGCTTTCATTGCCTCAAGGGGAGTTCAAGTTAGTGCTAAATACACATGCATATGAAGCAACAGAATTATAATATAAATTTACAATATTGTAGTTAATCGAACATGCACATTCCAGTTTCAAACCTCAGCATGAAGGAGTTCAACTCCATGCCAAGTAAAACAATGAATTGAAGGAAGCAATGACTAATCATATGCTAAAACACTTGTAAACAAGCCTCTGCAGTTAAGACAAATTGAACCATCTAATGAAAGTAATATGAAGCTAGATTATTGTAAAGCCTATGCTGTATGTACCAAAACTTGTCTTGAAAAAACTGAACAATCATGAATTATAACCGCTTCTTGTTTTTAGCCCATTCATGGAAGTACAGGTAATAGAGGCCACGGCAGGTTAAACATGATACACTACCATAAATAAGACAGATCAGTAAGACCTTTGCCTTAGCATGAGATATAATGAAGTCTTGCATACAATACTTTTTAGAAGATAAGTTGATGCTAAAGCCAAACTTGAATTGGACATAAATTAGTTCCTTAAGATAAATATGAACATACGTCATAGAACATATCATATTTTATGGACATGATACAAAACTTAATTGGAAAATATCAGATTTCGTATTTTAGAATGCCTATTTTATGTTATTTGCCTAGCTATCGAACAACAGCTACAAAATATAGATCAAGGATTGAAAAACCGAATGGTTTGATGCAGTTCAGCTGATATTTATTAGTCCAACTATCAACCAGTATGTATAGCAACCCAAACTGGACGATCCAGTCCAGTTCACTATATATAACACCCCTTTTTGTTTCCTTTTAACCCCACACTATGGCAGTGACGTGATTCCTCACTAATTTCCTCACAAATCTGCTTTCCACCTGTCATTTCACTGCCCACGCACCCGTCGCCCATCACTGCTCACTGCTCTTCTTCTTATTCTTCCTCCCCTCCTCTCCCTCCCCTAACATATCACGATACATTCTGACGTAACGATACATTAGAATGGACCAGACCCAAACCAATCCAATAACCAAAATTGAATTCCGTGATTCATATGCCAAAATGCTTTATGATTATGCATTATCAGCATAAGTCCTTTATCACCATAAATATTTTAATAGTTAGATAATATTGTTATGTTTCAAGAGAGAGATACTCACAGAGCCACATGACTATCCACAAGAATAAAATATATCCGCCAGAATTTTCTTTCCTTCATATATCGTGGGCACAGTTCATACCTGAAATTTGATATTTCCTGAAATATCAAGTAATTTAACTATCTGATGAGCTTCAAGTTAAACAAAGAAAACATAAGTTAAGATGTCATTGCTGACATTTTTTTAACAAGATTAGCATACACAAGGAGGTAAATTATGAGATATATTTTTTTATGAAAAGCTTCTGTGAGGGTTGAAAAAAAACTAAAGCAAGACTAGAAGCTATGAATTCCAGTAAAATTCAATTACACAACATCAGCTGTCTGAAAAATATTCAACAGGCTTGTTATTCTTAAGGACAATACAACTATGAACATTTGGGGATTATGGCTTTTTGTTGCTGGTGCTATTCACATTGTAGCACCAAAAAACTAACTTCAGCAATCTCCAGAGCTATATTAGGGCAGTATTGGAACCATGATTTTTTTAAAAAAGTTAAAAAAAAAAATAAAAGCTTAACACAATTTGGCATCTGCTAAACAAACCCCAGCAAGAAGTATATGTGGGATATGCCTTGCGATCATAGAACCTTATGGATCATACCCTCCTATGAGTAGGCCTCTCTCACTTATATGGGGCTCTTCCAAGTCCTGGTCAAGAATATAATCATTACATTTGGAGTACTTACAATTCAAGAGCATCACTACCTCATTCCATTTCCATGTTGTCTATATCTCTAGGATTAGCAACTCATATGAAACAAGCATTGAGCACATATATGAAACATTTGAAGTTGTAATAAATCTTTTTGTAATGGCTTGTAACTATTTAAATTGGATGATTTTTTTTCTAGATGTTATCACTTCTGTGTGTATATATATTGGAATTGTACTTGATACATGAAGCCTCTGTTGGGCTAGGCTTAATGTGCATCACATTGCATATAAGAAGCAAATTTTCAATTGGTTTATAGGACTAGATGAGTCTACTACCACTATCTTGGACTTTAAGTATTTTAGGTCTCATGATTTTGGGCCTTGCAGATTGATGGATCAGTAATCATACAATGCCAAATCATGATAAAGTTTATGCCAACCTACTGCCAAAGGAGAAGCAAAGATGTAAAATATGTTTGAAAAAAGAAATTAAATCTAACACAAGGAAATACCTTCACTGTTGACAGAACAAGGGTAGCATGTCTTGCTTGCCATTCACTAAGATCCTGCCTCACATTCGACACAGTGGGAACGTCTGATGTCTCCGGCTCATCTACAGAAACAATATAGTGAGATTATTCATTGAACTAACTTCAGAAAAAAAGAACTAAGAGATATTGTGATTCTACAGAAGACCGAATTGGTGCTTCTCCTTAACAACCCAACAACAAAGAACTATCACTGAAAGAAACATCAAGGAAATTCTAAATTATCACTTCACAAAGTTATAAACACGTCAGTTAGAACAGACTTCAAATGCCACATCAATTCCCTGAAACAGACGCCGTTAAAGCATAACAACGAGCACTTTAGCTATCAATTAAACTCAAAATCCATCAGATAATCTAACAAATCACATCAAGTCTGTCTTTTTTACTCGAGAATTCCAGTCAAACAATAGAAGGAGTGTTGTAAAACAAGAAAAATGAGAGAATCCGACGACCTCCAGAACATAGATTAAGAAGGGAAATGCATAAACGAATAAAACTGATTGACGTCAGGGGAAAAGCAAGGATCTAGGAAGCACCTTGCATGGGGAAATCCCTGAAAGTACTGATCGTGATCCCCTTCACGAACTCCCTCAGCTCTTCGGTGACCCCGAACCTCTCGAGATCCGACCTGGGTTCAGGGACAACAGCCGCATTGGACCCCTGGCCCAGGGTGGGCGGCATCGGGATGGGGATGTCGACCGCGAGGGTCTTGATCTGTTCGGCGGCGCGGAGGGCCTCGGACCGGAGCAGGTCCGCCTTCTTGGCAGCCTCCGAAGCGATCTCCTTGGATTTCTTGGCCGTCTCGGAGACGAACTCCTGCGAGAACCTGGCGGCCCCCTTGGTGAGCTCCTGCGACCGCTTCGCCGCCTCCTTGGAGATCTCCTGCGACCGCTTCGCCGCCTCCTCGGCGAAGCCCTTCGCCCGCTGCCACAGATCCATGGCCAATCGATCCGAGAAGGAAGAGGATGATGGAAGAAACGAACAAAGATTGGATTTTTATCGAAGGAAACGAAGAAGCAAGATGGGATCCGAAACGAGGACGCGCTCTAAGATACGAATTAGTGATCCAACGCCGACATCGTTTGACTCGTGACTCGTGACTCGTTAAATAAGCAGTAGTTGTGCTACATTTAACGTCGTAATTATTATATTTTTATTAAGAATTACAATGAGTGATTTTTCGAGATAAACCACATTTTCAAAATACTTAAAGAGAATCTCAATTCTTACAATATTTTTACATTGTGCTATAGTGTTTTCAATAATACTGCAACATAATATAAAAATATTATGTTATACTATTTTTAAACTAAGTCATAGTATTTTTCTAATATTATTGAAAACAAAAACACTTTGTTACAATAATTTTGTGTTGTAGTATAGTGTTTTTAAAACACTGTAACATGATACAAAAAATATTATAAACACTATAATTTTACAAGATTTGTATAAAAACACTGATGACTATAATTTTTCTAGTATTGTTGAAAATACTATAATACAGTGTAAAAAATAAAAGAATTCCATCTATTAAGCAAAATAAGAAGGTATTATTTTGAGAATTCTAAAAATAAGGATTGCTTGTCTTAAAACCCAAAAAGGACTCTTTCCGAGAATGATGTCACTCAATTATGTTATTTTTGGTCCAATAATAAAAAAAAACAACTGTGACTTAAACCAAAAGCACTATTCAATGACACCATAAAACTCAATTTGTGATTTAGTCCAACATGGAGAATTAGGATTGGAGTCAAACTCACATAACAGTTTCTCCCTCACCCATTCATGCTCACTGCTATTTGGAGTCCGATTGCCTGTGTAAGAAGAAAACAAACTGACATCAATATCAAGGCTAGAATTTGTGTACCTATAAAGAAACTGCCAACATGGACTCTTTGAATGCTGGATAATGTGTTGTGGCCCAGATTTATCTCGATGATTCCATAAGCATTCTGGTTCAAAGTAAATAAGAAAATCACCAAAGAAATTTCCAGAATATGAAAATACACAATCTCCTTTTGTTTCAAGAACTAAGATGATACAATTCATACGACAGCAGAAATAACATTTACAACTTAAGCACATGTTAATTTCACTGACATTCTCCATATGTGCCGCAAGCTTTAATTCTAGAACCTCGATTCGGTTCATCAGGAGTACAAGGCTTAACAGCTTACGAAAAGAAACCACAGAACAACTGTAGAGAAGTAATACTGAACAACAGATTTTGCTAGTCAACTTCGAGGGGTGTGAGGCTGAGTAATTAAAGTAGGGCATAAAAGGAGATTGTGTTTGAGGAGGAATCTGGCAGCACTGGACAACTGTGGTTGGTTGGCACTCGAACTGAGCAGGTGGAAGCGATGGTTGTGTTGCATACTGTATGGGAAGTGGATGGAGGCGGAGAGTCGCAATAACAAGTTCAACACAGTGAACACTTGTAACAAGCAGGTTGAAGAATTATACCCAGCAGACTTCCCAGGATTCTACAGAGCTGAAGTTGAGAACAAACAGCCCGAGCACCAAATGAAGCTGACTGCAGGCAAAGATGAGATTCAATTCATTTCCACGGCAATGCAGCAACAAGAAAAATAAATGGTAGAACAGGAACTAGCAGTTAGACAAACATAAAATGTATAAATGGTTTAGATATACATTTGATCCATCCTTAACCATGAAGTAGGTTTATACAGCTTTGATTTCTATTTAACATGGAACAAAACCTGTCGAGCTGACCTTTTTGTGTTGAAAGATGGAAGGCTTCAAAAGCAAAAACTTTCTTCCTTCTATTCTTCTGACTCTTTAAATATAAAATTATGTCTCCAAATTCAACCTACAACTTCTCAATTCAAGATGTATGAGAATGTGCAAGAGCCACAGACTTTCATTCTTATCAAAATATGCTGCACCTATTCCCTTCTCTCACTATTTTTTCTTAAAATCTTGGAAATGTTGATCACTATGTCACTGTAATTTATTTCCAAATAATCGTCAGTTGGCAATCTGATTCAGCATACCTTTCTTGTGATGATGATCACAACAGAACTAATGAGCTGTACCTTTCTAATTATCCCTCTCTTTTATGGTAAACCAAATCTCAAGCAATGGCTTCATTTTCCTATACTTTCCATATGCTAACTTATCATGAGAGGATAAGAACAAAGTACAATAGAAAACCTCTTTTATGGTGAATCGAATGTCAAAGAATGGATATTTTTTCCTGCAACTGTCCATATGCTAACTTATCAAGAAAGGCCAAGAACAAAATCTAATTAAAAAAAAGCACCGAAAGGTTTTATTTTTATCACAACTTTACAACTTTACCTGGTTATCAATGCTGTGTAAACAATAAACACACTGAAGATATTACTCATGCAGTGGTAAGTCTAGGGCACAACAAAAAAATAGAAAAACTTTATTCAAATTCGGCACAGAATAATAAGTTCATGGCTTTTTCTGCAACAAGATTGAGGAAAGCTTATAGTTCCCATCAATCTTTAAGGTCATAATATAGAAGACAAAGTATGAAACTATGAGTTCATACTTAAAAATTGCAGCTTGGTGCCTAATTAAGTAAATATAAACAAATGAAATCAAGCATTAAAGGTGGGATATACCCATCATCATAACTCAAGTCTACAACTCTGTTAATATATTGTCACCAAAAGGTAGTCTTGCCAAACCTCAAGATCCATGTGAGAAATCACATATGATGAATCAAAGAGCCATTACCAGGTCATGATGGTTGGTTCAGGTCCCTCGTGTTCAGATACAGACAGCTCCGCCTACTAGTGAAAGCTGATTTTATACAAATGGGAGAAAACCCAGCATAACTCTTTTCAGCCTTTGCTAAGCCAAGATTGATAATATACTTTAAAAGTTCATGCTTCTGAGCAAAAGGTTGTGCAGCAAATTGCTGGATTGGTATCCACTGCATAAGATGAATAAATTCTTAAATGTCACATTTTGGGAAATTATATAGTAGTTTATGCATATAATTTTACACATCATGATGAAAATAAATATGCCAATAAAGAAAATCAGGGAAGAGCTTTTCAACTATTAACCCAATCACACCCAGTAAGACAAAGGCAGTCAACTATAATAATCATTCCTTTTGTTACTTCATTCAGAAAAATGAAAGCACTCTTCTGAAAAAAAATGAAAAACATTTTCAATTAGAGCTAGCGAACGCGAGCCCTCTTCTCTGTACACAGGGAGTGTGGTATTGCTCCCAAGCTACTGCCATCCCTCCCCGCCACTGTCCTTCGCTGACACCTCTTCCTCCTTTCTCCTCATCCTCTATCTCCTCTTCCTTCTCTTCCTCCTTCATCCCCTTCCTCCTTCCTCCACAGCATTCCTCTTCCTTTCATCCTTCCTCCTCCTCTACCTCCACCACCCCTTCCTCTTCTCCTCCTCCTTCCTCTTCAAGACACCGGTACATACCAGTCCAGCAAGCAACAAGATGGGTCCGGTATGCGGATCAACGTTCCTTGATTTTAATTAATCATGTTCTTTCTACATAGCTTTGTTTGTTTGTTATATTTATTGTATGAATATAAAAAGTTGCTAGCTTCATCGAGTAGTTTAGAAATGGAACAAGTTACAATGAGGAATCAAATGGTGAAAAAGAATGAATAAGACCACTTGACGTCCTCATATCAAAGAGACAGTAGTCAACAAGACTACATGATATTATCATATTTGTAACTGTCCTTTACATCATTCCTTTTTTTGGCTGTCATTCCATTTAAAATATGACATAGAGGAAAAGACAAAGTATATAGAGTGATTGAATATGAGTATGCCTGGTATTCGTCAATTAGAAAAGAATACTTGAAAAGACCTAGCAATTCCCTTTATAGACTACGACATGCATGTTGCTATACCCTTGTTACTATGATAAAAAAAACCTCTTCCTTGAATAATTCTTTTACAAACAAAACTCCTTCAAGACTAGTTCCACTTGCAATCTGGGCATGATCAAGTAATCTGCATATTTCAGGTACCTTGTGAGCTATTTAGTCAAGGCTTCGAGAACAAGTAACAGTTACTTGTCAAATCAGTATCTTATTCATTTTAATCCTTATGAAATGTTACTTCATAAGAACTGCATTACATTACCTCAGCAGCCTCAATCTCTGAATCTTGCTTCCGGATATCAAATGAAAGCGGTCGCAGCATGCATATGAAGAACAAATCTGACTTGTTGAAGAAGGATTTGTGACTTTGCCTACGAATATGAAAACATAAAAAAGAATCATGCCATGAATTTCATTCGATGAAAACGTATCTATTATTTTTATTATGAAAGTTGCACGGGTAAAAGTTAAAAAAAATGTTAGAAACATCTGACAAGAACAGGAGACAAGATCGGGTAACACAGTAAATGATCTGAGAGAAAAGATACTGGCAATCTTAGCTAGAAAGGAGTCTTTAGGTTTTCTCAAGCAAATAAAAAAGTTCTAGGACTAGTTTAGGAATTATTGTCTTCAGTTGCCTAGGCTCAAAATTATAAGTTACAAAGACCTATTAAAGCAAAGTTAATAGAAACAGGTACAACCAACAATACTTTGCCAGTGAAGTAACTTTAGTTGACCGCTCTACCTGAATGCAAGTACTTCAATGAACTCGGTGTTGATCTGCCAAACATAGTACAGAAATGAATATGTTACTTTTGTAAATTTTCACCCAGGACTGGAAAAAAAAAAAAACACTGTCTAACAGATATATTCCTTCTATTAAAGCTTTGAACATACTCCTGTCTCTTCTTTGACTTCCCTTACTGCCCCAGCAGATATATCTTCACCCTGTTGAGATAGAAAAAGACTCCTGAAAAGTGGAAAAATGGGTGAACTAGAGAAAGTCCAATTTCCAGTTAGTTGTTAGAGGAAATCCTACCGGCTCTACAACTCCAGTAGGAAACTTCCATACGCCTGATCCACGGAACTTGCCACTTTTTTCCTGGACTGCCAAGACCTACCATATTGAAATTTGCAGATGTTAAATTGCAGTTGTCGTTATGACAATTTCATATGAAGCTAGACTTATAGCATGTAAAATGTACCACAATGT